GTTCGTGATGAATTTTAATTTTAAAAAAAAACAGTTTGTAAAATGTTTGATGGGAGGCTCGTGATTGTGTTTTTGCTGTTTAAAAAGTATTTTTACAGTGATTGGACGAAAGCCAGATTTTTCGTGACAGCGAAGCGCACTTTTAAAATCGTGAGGTTGTTCGTGGACGTTACCCTTTTCTGCGAGTTAGTCTTATTAGTTGCAATCTGACATGTTCGGCGAGAGCGTTCTCATTAGCATACAGAGCTGAAATTTCCATCATTTGCATTTGCCGTGATTAGTAAACGTCTGTTGAATTTCCGGCCAGTCTAGAAAACATTATCTTGATAATAAATTTTCAATTAATGGCAGAGAGTGTATTATACAAATACCAATTCTTATTGATTCATATTACAGTAATAAAAATACAGAATGACATAAATTAATATAACTCGGCCTTTATATATAATGAGATTTTATACAAAGATTTTTTTTTATATTTCAGGATAGTTAGTTTAAAATTAGTTCACAATTTTTTGTGAAAATATCAGTTGTCTTCAAATATGTTCCACGGAAACCTGGGGGCCCACGAGGCATGTACAGGGGTTCCATGAGTCAAAAAAAAAAAAATCAAAGAAAAAATTTATAAATGTCAATGGAAAATGTATTCACGTTTCTTATGGATTGGGCTAAAAATTAATTTCAACAAAAATGAGGACTTATTACTGATAGAACAAGAACGAGTGGCTGAACTAGCAACAGATTCTAAGTTAATAAACCGATACGAACAAGGTCTTGATTTTTGGTTAAAAATTTACCTGGGATAACCTCTCTCAAAGACTTTCCATAGACCTAGACTTCGACAATTGGTATAAAAAGATGTAAGTACGTATACCAGTTACTAATTATAATGTATGTATAGGTGATACCTGTAGCACAAATTAATATGACTAATATGTAAATTATATTAACATTATATATATCAAATTAATAAGTGCAATATTTAAATTTAATTGTCTTTAATAAAGTACCTATATCATGTAAATTTACTTTAAATATTATTTTAATAAACATTTTTCTAATAAAGAAAGAGGAGGGAATTGGGTTCCCTCAAACACTTTTTGATTCTAAGGGTTCCACAAGTTTGTGACGGATCTATACGCAGCTCTACTAACCCTTTGAGTACTCTTTAAGGAAAATATTTAATTCGGCCAACTTTTACTGAAGGTAAGAAAAAGTGATTATGCAAATTAAGTTTACTATATAAATTCTGTATTCGTGAGTTTTGAGAGTTAGTGATGTGTGGATCGAGAGTTAGTGAAGGGAGGATCGTGAGTTATTGAAGTGAGAAGCTAAGATTATTAAAGTGAGAATTGAAGATATCCTAAGTGAATAACACTTGGATGTGAGCTGATCAAGATAGCTAGTAGAGTTCAAGGCCTCAACCGCAGGACTCCTGACTGACAAGAGTTCATGTATTGTGCATATTATTTAAATAAAAGTTAGAAACTAAATTGCTAGGTTGCGTCTGAGTTAATAACGAGCTTGTATAGGTTATCGCAGAGATTAGTTGAATGTCCGTAACATTATTTCCCAGGCTAACTGGTCTCACCTTCGCGCTCTAAATAGTGATCAAACCATCTTAATTGAATTATTTTTGTGCTTGTGTTGATAAGTGTGACAGTAAAATAATTTTAGTGGATCATGTCTTCTGATCAATTAGCTGCTCCCACACTTCTAGCCGGGTCCGAGAGTAGACAAGGGGGATTAGAGGGAAGTAGGCAAGGCCGAACATCACAAGTTGAAGTCTGAAGGCCACTGGTGTATATCAAAAAGTTGCAAAACTTAACTACAATGTTTCACCAGTAAAAGAGAACCCTCTCCCCCTTTCCTATCTTTCTGTATAGTATATAAAGACAGATATCACAGACATTTCTGATATCATTCTTGGACGTTATTGTAGAAGAAAGACAATAAGTCAGGCATTTCATGAACATTTCAAATATTAATGAAATATGACAGAAATAAAAAACGAAAGCAGCTATTGAAACCTTATTTATGAATTTAAAATTTCACTGTTTCTTAAGAATCTTAAGATTTAATAAGGCACGAGGAATCAAAATAAGAGGGTGCTCTTCATTTTTTAAGAAATTTTCGGATGGAATTATCAAGAGCATGTGTGTATGCGCTGCTTATTGAAAGTTTATCAGTTTTTGAATACTTTTTTATGGTAGTACATAGAAGTTTAGAAACGAAGGGTAGATGACATTTTTTCATATATCCTGATTAATTTTTATGGGAGGTGAGATTCCATCCAATCCACCAAGTAGAATTAGTAGCCGCGGTAGCTTAAATGTCAAGGTAACGGACTCGTGGCCAACGCTTCATGAGTTCTAACCTAGTACCGCTGAAGATTCGCCGTGTAGGGTAGCAACGCACGTTAAATCTGTTGAGAGCTCAAACGTTCTCCCGTTGGTGATTGATAGTTAGGAGAGGGAGTGCCAGCCCAGGTGTCGTTCTCGTCAACTGATCGTGGTTCAAAATGACGAGGTCCATCGCCAATATCTCTCGTGTTGCCTTATAGCGCGATGTTAATATAACACTCACTCACGCATGGGCAGAAAAAGGTAAATTTTTTTGTTCATCAGCACTCCGAAAAAATAAACGGAGATTTCTGAGACTAAGAACAATCAGTTATTTGAGAAGTATTACAATATTCAAAGGAAAAGATAAAAAAGAACTTCGCGGCTATGCATGAAAAAGAAATGATTAACTAATGAAGCGTCTCTATTTCTCTCTGAATTGAAAGAGTTATCTTTGTAAATAAATACATAACGATAAAATTAGCATACTAAGATTTTTACAGATTTCTTTTTCTGTTTTTGACCATAGCTAAAAATAAAAAAATTTTCAACAAGGAACTCAGTTTAGTTTATTTAAAAGTTTTTCGAAAACGGAAAAAAAAAGAAACAAAAAAAGTTGGAATGCAAAACTCAGCAAAGTTATTTGTTTCATTATTGTCATAGTTACAAACCCTACGTAAGAACCATGAGCGAAAGCGGTAATGGAGCCGATTTAAATTGCTTGGTTGTACATTAACTGGATTTTTGAATCTGTGCTATTGTAGATGTATCCGCGTACTTCAATGATTTTTAAATAGGAAGAAAATTAACCGATATTACTGAAGAGGTGAAACATAACTTATGGTTTATTTATTTAAAAGAAATGCGAATTGTAGGGAAAAAACTTCAGTTTCAAAGTGCATGATAAAAGACGATAAGTAAGAACCAAATAATTTCACCACACCAAATTAAACAATTTAAGAGACAAAAGCAGTAAAATACGCATATTAAGAAAAGAAAATACTAAAACAAGAAGATTAAGAGATAAAAAGATGCAAAGCTTTACATTTAATAACAAAAACAAATCATATTAAATATATCAAGCTCTTCACGAAACCCTGACAAAATTTATATAATGAATAATTGTCAATTAAAAACATCCAATAAACCTATCTTACAAAATAGATAGTCTACTCTCGCTATAATTCAAACCTTCGATAATATGAACCTCTCGCTAATTCGAAATAAATGCTCAGCCCCTAGAAAACTCTTGATATTTCGAACTAAAACAAAACGTTTTGCTACACTCAACATTTCGAAATAAAATCTGCAACTGGCTTGACTACAACACGCGATAATTCGAAATCTTATATAGCTTTCGACAATTTGAACATTTACTATCATGTAGAGTCTTGTAGAAAACAGGTTGGAGCTTACATGTTTTGTGTTGTACTGTCTCTATGTGTCTCCCCTGTAACGTAGCCAATTTGATGACTATCTGTCTGCCATCTCTTCTTTGTGTTTCCCGGTTCCTCAAGCAAAACGATACTTTTAGTGCTTTCCTCCTTCAAGTGGGCAATAGACCGGCCGCACTTGTTATGAGCTGTCCCTATCATTCGCTCAACACGCGGCCTTGCTACACATTTGTTCAGAAAGGATGGTCCCCTATTGTGAAGAAGATAAGAGTAGGATTGTGTATTTTGCGTCCGAGTGACATGACGATTTATGACTCATCTGTGTGACTTAGGGCATACGACACTAAATAGGGCATGGTCCTTACTGGACCCGGCTTTGAAGAACCAATGGTATTTGGGACAGTGTCTAAGGGAACCGATAACAGATTAAACAGATTTAAAAAGATAACCGATTTTTTTCGACGAAAAAGATTAATTATATACAGTATATATTCTTTTAATAATTGTTTTAATACAAAAATGTATTCTTTTAATACAGGACTTTGAACTTCTGATAATGCATAATATGTGCATTGAAAATAGTTTAAAATAATTTTATACACATGTACAATTGTTGTTTTATTAAATAGCTTCAAATTTAAATGTATAAGAAAAAAATTATCTTCGTGTATTTTAAGAGTTTTTCCCTACCCTCTTGATAATTCGAAGTTTCTCATAGGCCACTCAAACTTCGAATTATCGAGAGACGACTGTGATTGTTTCTCTTTGTCCATCTAATTAATTCAATGAAAGTCAGTTAAGTGATGTTTCAATGTAATTCAAAAATGATTTCAAACCTTTCCAGCTTTTCCCAATCTGAGTTCGAGCAGGCGAAAGAAGCCTCCTGGCGCATACCAAATTCAGAACGAGTACTGTGAAAATAAACACTGCAATATGTTGTTTCCGAATTATTTCACATATCCTTTTAAAGGTTTCGAATTTTTTCCTTATCTTTCGGGCAAACATAAAAAAAAAATTTTAAATCCATAAACACGAAACAAACTTTTTCAAAGCACCCAAGTATCTAAAAAAGTAAGGGTATAATTTCAAGAAAAGTAAAGGATTTGAACCCCGGACATTTCGCATGCGAAGCGAACGCTCTACCCCTGAGCTACACCACCGTCTCGAGAGCACTCCTTTTCTAGTGGTCTCCATTCCAATCTGGAAGCGTCCAAGTATCTAGAAAAAGTAAGGATCCTCTTAAAATACACGTCAGAACTGCAGTCGGAGGTGCGGGGACTTGAACCCCGGGCACTTCAACTGCGAAGCGAACGCTCTACCCCTGAGCTACACCTCCGTCTCGCGAGATTTCCTTTTCTAGAGGTCTCCATTCCAATCTGGAAGCGTCCAAGTATCTAGAAAAAGTAAGTGTCCTCTCAAAAAAACGCGTCAGAGTTGGAGGTGCGGGGATTGAACCCCGGACATTTCGCATGCGAAGCGAACGCTCTACCCCTGAGCTACACCCCCGTCTCTAGAGCTCTCCTTTTCTAGTGGTCTCCATTCCAATCTGGAAGCGTCCAAGTATCTAGAAAAAGTAAGTGTCCTCTCCAAAAAACGCGTCAGAGTTGAGGTGCGGGATTTGAACCCGGACATTTCGCATGCGAAGCGAACGCTCTACCCCTGAGCTACACCCCTCTCTAGAGCTCTCCTTTTCTAGTGGTCTCCATTCCAATCTGGAAGCGTCCAAGTATCTAGAAAAAGTAAGAATCCTCTTAAAACACGCGTCAGAATTGCAGTCGGAGGTGCGGGACTTGAACCCCGGACACTTCCACTGCGAAGAACGCTCTACCCCTGAGCTACACCCCGTCTCGCGAGTTTCCTTTTCTAGAGTCTCCATTCCAATCTAGAAGCGTCCAAGTATCTAGAAAAAGTAAGAATCCTCTCAAAAAACGCGTCAGAGTTGGAAGTGCGGGGAATTGAACCCGGACATTTCGCATGCGAAGCGAACGCTCTACCCTGAGCTACACCCCCGTCTCGAGAGGTGTCCTTTTCTAGTGTCTCCATTCCAATCTGGAAGCGTCCAA